TGGCGGGTGGGCCGGCCACCTGATGAAGCTCTGGACTAGACAGTGGTGGCGGCACCTGAAACCCGACCCTGTCACAAGTAGCTGTGTCTTCCTTCTCTGGGCCGCGGCAGCTCTCTTGTAAAGGCGTAGAGAAGAACAATATTAACCCTCAACCTTTTCAAGCAGGAGCGGTATGAAGGGCGCCTCGCTTTGCTGCCTGTGTCTCGTTAGCCCCTCCCCACCGGCCCTCCAGGTAGGCACTGCTCACGGTTCCGTTTTCAAGACAAGAGATGGGACCTCGGGAGAGGTTAAGCGACTCGCACAGAAGGCGCACCGCTCGGAAGCCCGGGGCTGCGACTGGACTGCAGAGCCAATCCTGACCGGCCACGGCGGGCAGGGCCTCCCCGCGGGGCACCTTCCACCTGGTGGGCATGGGTCAAGGCAGGAAGCCACGCGCGTGTGGGGCCATCAGGGTTGAGAGCCCAGGGAAGGGGGGAGGCAGGCCGGCCGGGGGCCAACTCTGCTCTAAGCCAGGCTTTCTTCTCCTCCGCCAGCCGCCCCACCCGGCCACACCCCGTGCCCGCTGCCAGAGCCCAGACGTTTCCTTTTTCTCTTGCCTAGGGCTGTTTCCTGCCTTTCCTTTGAACTGGGGTGTTGGCTCCCCCACACACTCACCCTCCTCCAGTGACCCCCCGGGTCTGCCTCCTGATGGGCCCGCCCCCCCCCACTCCCCTCGGAGTAAGGCTGGCACAGGAGGCCCCCAGAGGACCCCGTTTCCTGGAATCAGTCTCCCTTCGCCCTTCTCTTCACTGGGCTGGTCTGGGCGCTGTCCCACTGCCGCCCTTCCCTCTGTCCCTCCCCCGCTGCCTGCCACCCAGCAGTTCTCCCTGCGGGCTTTCTCTGTCCTGCCTCTCCCATGCGCTCGTTTTCCAACAAAACGTGTAGGCACGGAGGCCCAGAAAAGTTTGGGGCCTGCAGCACAGCAACCGAGGGACCAAGGGTCACACTCAATTTCGGGGGGCGGGTGATGTGCCGCTCAGGCTGTTAGACTCCATTATTAAGGGGGACCGAGGCTCGGCCCAGGAAGGGTGGCCTTGGAGGTGGAGCAGGAGGCCTGGCACACGGACCGCCGGGACACATCCTCCACTGAGGCCACACGTGTCTCTGCTTCATGGGACAGGCCCTGCGAGGCCCGTCTAGAACGTGGGGCACAGGCCGGGGTCTGCCATCCTTTGCTTCCCCCCCACCTGCATTTCCACTATAACCCATCCAGCCCCTCTCCCCTCTCACAGCCCCCAACACACACCCCCCTCCATTCCACACCTTCCACAGAACAAGGCTCCTCCTGTCCCCCCAGGGCCACCCCTAGGACTTCCTCCTCCAGGAAGACGCCCATGACTAACAGCGCTTCTTGGCCCTGGTCACCCGAGTGTCAACACTGGCTAGCACGAACCGAGCTCTTCCAGACACTACGCCACAACCTTTACAAACATCCCCTCAGCGGGGCCACTCGAAAACCCTGGGAGCCGTGTGCTCGCACCTCCTACAAATGAACAGACTGAGTCACACACGGTGCATCAGCTGGCCTGGTTCACACAGCTCGTAAGTGCTGACCAAGCCCCCGCCACTGTGGCCAACGCCATGCTGTCGACTGCTCTGCTGTCCTCGGCACCCCCCCCACACACACACACACACACACCCCGTCTGACCTCTACCACCGGTTCAGTGTGGTCATTGAAGGGCGGGAAGCCGCAGCCGCCAACAGCAGCCTGGCTGGGTTGAATGGAGTGGCCCCGCCTGGCCCTACCTGGGTCCCGCCTGGCCTGTGGGTGACGGGAATGGTGCTTGGGGGTATCAGCAAATATCAGCAAATGAGCCTCAGGTCTTTTCCAACCAGCCGCCCAACACAGCTTATCTCCCGGCATCCAAGGAGGGATGCAGGGTCTCCCGCTCAGGGGCAGCCCTGGGTGTCTGTCTCATCCTGTGCCTTCCCCGTGTGGCTGTAGGACGGGATGGAGCAAGGGGAAGGGGCATCACGCCTTCTCGTCACCATCGGGGTGGCGTGCCCACAGCCAGGGGCTGCATCTCCCCCACATGGGCTCCCAGAACAGGTCCTTCCCAGGGAGAACGTCCGAACCCCAGGAAGTCTCCATGAGCCTCGCCGAGGGGACAGTTCAGAAGGATTATGGGTATTTTAAGTCTGTCCTCCCAACCTTGATCAAACAGGAACCCAGGTTGTCATGGTTTTGGACTCGACGTGGGAGCACAGGACGGCAGTTGGACATAGAGGGACCTCCGGGTCCTCCCCGGACCTGGGTGGGGGAGGCTGAGGTGGCACTGACTACGACAAGGGAGCCCCAGCTCCTTGGGGGCAAGCAGGCGTGCAGTGCTACTCACTGGGGCGGGGCCCGCAGTGCCTCGGTGGCCCCGTGGTTCTACGCATGGCTCCCTTGCGGGACCTCCAAGCACCCTCTGGGCTGCTATTCCTTGTGCACCGAGTGTTTCAATCTTACCTTTTACCCTCTTGGCTCCGTGTCAGGAGACCTAAGTGCCCGCACCCCTCCCACCCCCGTCCCCATTGTGCACCAGCTGGTTGGACCCCAAGTCCCCAGTTGACCAAGCCCAGCGCCTGACAGCGACTCGCAGCACGCAGCATGTCTCCTCCTGCCGCAGGCCACTCCCTGGGGACCTACGCCCGCCCCTGGGCTCAGAGTCTCCCCTAAGTGAAGGATCCTGGGACCTTACCTCACCTCCACTGAACACCCATCAGGAGGCTTGACGATAACAGTCACTATCTACGTGTCACCCTGTGTGCCAGGCACTGGGCTTGACACAGACGTGTGATGTCATTTTATCAGGCACCTACTCCTTCCACGAACAGAGGAAGACCCTGAGGCTCCGAGGAGCTCAGTGACTGTCAGGAGGTGGCAGGACAAGAAAGGAACCCAGGTTCGGGTGGCTTGGACACACAGGCACTGCTGGCCACATCATCAGATGCAAATCTGCACCGTCCTTGGCAAGAGCCCGGCTACTTGGGGGCAAGGCCAGACGGGGCACTTCCTCACCTTGCTGAGAAAGGAAAGGGCCCCAGAACCTTCGTGCCCGGGCTCTTCTCAGAGGCAGCCCACTGCCACTCTGCCCTCAGCGTGTGTGTGACCGCACTGCTCCTTAAGATAGAGAAGGCCACTCATCGGAGCCACCCTCCGTCCGGCCGCCCCAGCAGAGGCCCTTCACCCACCATCCAGAGGGGACATTCCAGCCCCAGGCAGGGGTGGGACTCGCTCTCACCTCCCTCCCATATTCCAGAGCTGAATTCCCCCATGCCGCCTCTGTCTCCTTCCCTCTCCCGTTCTCAGAAGCACAATCTGTGTCTTGGGAGAGAGGGGCTTTCTCAGTCCCCAGGGAGACACAGCCCCAGCTCAGAACATCTCACCCCCACCGAGCCCACATGCAGCCTTCACCACTCCGGGGGGACTGTGGCAAGATGGTGGGCACGCCTTCCATCAGCATGGCTGGTGGGGCTCAGACTCCAACAGTGGACCTGGGCCGTCCTTCCCCACACCCTTCCAGAAAAGGGTCAGCCTGGGGGGACAGGTGCTGGGGACAGAGGTGGACCAGCCAGCCTCTGGAAGGCGCTTTGTCCCCTGTCCCCTCAACACAGGAAAGGGGTCTTTCTTCTGCCCCCTCCATTTTCACACTTTCTAGTCACAGAACCCTGTCTTCAAATGAACCAGGACATATACCCCCAGTGTACGTGTAAATGGCTGAGTGGGGCTGCCCTGGGTATAGCGGGCATGGGGGCCGGAGCCTGCCCTCCCCTGACAGCTGTGGGGCTCCCTCACCACCAGCACCACCACCCCCGGCTCGGCTGACAGTGCGCCCCTGCCTTCACCCCCTGGACCAGGAAGGATTCGACGTCCCCTCCTGGGATATGGACACTATTTTCTCCCTCCACGCCCTCCCCTGACCCCAGCCTGTCCTATTGGAGTGGAAGAGGGCACCCCACAAAGGGCAGAGGGACCTGGGAAGGGTAGCCGTTCCGGACCCTCCACGCCCGGCCAGGGCGGCCCAGCACTGAGCACCCTGGTCCCATTTGGTTCCACAGACACTTGCCGGACTCCTGTGAAAACCATCCAGCTCCCCTTCCTCAGAGCTCCCAGGTGCTGAAGCCCCAAAAGCCAGAAAGCCCCGGGCCCCTACGCCTGGTACAGATGGCCCCAGGCTTTGCCACCTGCTCGCCTCCCCTGAGAAACGGCGATGGAGCCTGGGCAGGGCTGAGCTGCGGAACTTTCCTTTCCCAGAGCAGGCGTGGGGGTGAGGGTAGGGGGTCTGGAATGTGCTCCCACATCCCTCTCGCTGCCACCACCCCTCCGTCTTGCCGGGGAAGCTCCTCAGAGCCGTCCTCAGGACAGCTGCCCCCAATAGGGTCCCCTTCACGTGCCATCTCACCCCAACTCAGACTCTAAAAATGGTTCCCTGTTTTCAGCCTCAGCGTCTGCCCACAAATTAGTGTGTTCACACGGCCTCTTGGGACATGACTCCAGGGAGGCCCCTGGGGGAGCCAGGAGACCTCAGCCAAGGGACGTGGTGCGGACAGGGTCCCTTCTGGAAGAGACAAGGTGGGTAAGGTCCCAGCTTCCAGGACCCCCATCAGGGCCACCCAGCCTGTGTGGCAGCGCTGAAGTCCTCGCCACCGTAGAGGGACAGACAACCTTCCCGCCGGCTGAAGCCGCCTCCCGGGTCCTGCACCACCTCACTCAGCTTCCCCTCCAGCCACCCTCTGGGGCGCTCGGGACAAGGGGCTGCCAAGCCCGCTTCCTCCAGGTCCGGGTCCGAGGCCCGCCTCTTACCAGCCTGAGCGCCCAGGTAGCGAAGCCCAGTCACTCTGGTCTGAGGTTCAGCCTGACCCCCCTCCTGCCGCGGTCCCCCGCAGCCCGTCCATGGAAGGGGAGCGCCGGGGTGCCCGCGCCTCGGGGCAGGTGCCCCAGACCGAGCCAGGGGGGCGCGCTGCCAGTACTCACAGGTAGGCCGTCAGGGGGGCCAGGTCCCCGGGCACGGCGGAGAGTCCCAGCTCCGAGCAGTCCGCCGACAGCATGACGCCGTCCTCCTGGCAGTGGCAGAGGGCCGGGCAGGCGGCGGGCCCCGGGCTGGGCTGCGGGGCGCACGGGGGGGCGCAGAGCGCGGCGCACAGCCACAGCGCGCACAGCCCGGGCGCGCGGGGCATCGTGGCGGCCGGCGCGGCGCCGTCGCGGGGACCTCCCCGCGGGCTGTGCTCGGGGCGCGGGGGCCGTGCAGTCAGAGCGGCGCAGGCATCGCCGAGTGCGTCGTTCCTGCGCTCCGCAGGCTGGGCTTGGCGAGGGAGGGAGACCCGGCGGAGGAGGGGCCAAGGAGACGTCTGCGCTGCGGCGCTCCCCTTCCCTCCTCCGAGCTGGCAGGGATTCCGTCCAGGAAAGAAAAACGCGGCGAGGAACCCAGAGACCGCGAGCACAGCCGGCCCGCCGGGGACCTGCGCGTGTTTGGGACCAGGTCCCGGGGCCTTGTGCGGGGACAGCCGCGGGGTCACACGGGGCTCGGAGGAGGTTCCTCTAGGTCCCCCCCCCCTCCGCCAGCACAGGACACTGAGACCCCAGAGGGAGGTGATGCGCTCAAGGTCACAGCTGATGGGAGGCAGCCCCGGGCCGGGAACTGAGGGTCCGTCCTTGTCGCCCGGCCTCCTGGGGGAGGGAGGGGAGTGACGGGCTGTCCTCAGAGGGGTCAGCTGGGCCGAGCCCCCCTGCCAGCTGGGATGGGGACGGTGGGAAGTGAGAGGAACCCCCTGTCTGAGCGGCCGTGTCCCGCCACCAAAGAAACGGGTGTGCGTTTCACCCGCTGAGTGGACGTGGCGTGTGGCTCAGCCGGTCTCAGGCCCTGGGACCACCTTGATCCGGCTCCCGGGACCGTCCCGGTTGCCGTCAGAGCCAGAAAGGCAGCCGATGGGCGCCACCTGGAGGTCAGAGCTGCAGCCGCCGCTCAGCCGCCCTGAGGCTGGAACCCCGGGGCCCTGGGGGGCCGGGAGGGCGGCTGCAACTGGGGTCAGGTCCCTGTTCTCTGCTTAGACCAGACCTTCCGCTTTCTCCGGTCCCTCCCACTCTGAGCCGAGCCCCACGGCAGCGCTGCAGCAGGCTCGTGTCCTCCCGGGGTCCATCCAGAGCGCGCCCGGAAGCCTTCCCTCCCCTGCGACCCCCCTGCAAGACCCCCCTGCAGCCCTCCTGTGCTCGGCCACCGCTGCTAACCCCCCAGGGCCCAGCCTCGCCGTGCCCCTCCAGGCCCTGGTGTTGGGCCCCGTGTCCCCCAGTATTTAAGGTTGTCCCTTTCCTCCTTGGAGGGTGACGCTCGGCCTTGGGCTTCACCACGTCCTCTATTCCTGGCTCTGCCCCTTCACAGCACAGAGCCGGCTGCGGCTGGCAGGCGCCACTCGGCCAGCACCGACCTGTGCCCCGCGCAGCCCGTGACCGCTCAGGGCAGCCGCTCACCAGCGCGCTGTTCAGACAGTTGCACAGGTGGATGTACTGACCCCGGGGACAGACCGCGGGGTCCTGACCCCTCCCGCCTGCGCCGTCTGATAAGAAGGGCTCCCTGAGCCTCCCGCCCCAGGGCCCCGCGGAGCGCGCAGCGGTCCACAGCGCCACCTGGTGGCTTCCTGGATGGTGCCGCCCGGAGGCCCGAGGGCAGAACCGTCCCTGTGTCCCCACCCCTCCCCACAGCTGAGCCCATGTCGCCTCTCCCCAGCGCTGGGGTCCTGAGGCCACAGGCCTGTGACTGCTGCAGGGCCACGTGAAACACGTTCACGATGCCCTCAGCTGCAGCCTGCTGCAGGGGCTGCTCCACGGCCCGGAAGGTGCCCAGCGGGGCCTCGCCCTTGCTGCAAGTGTCCTGGAGTTGGATGGGGTTCCTGGGGGGCCGGGAGGAGGGCGGAGGCTCTCCAGGTGTGTGGGGAAATCCACCTGGGCCTGGGGACTGGGAAGGACACTGGGCACTGGGTCAGCCAGCCGGCGTGGGCCCAGGCAGAGAGGGCTAAGTTCCTAGAAGATGTCACATCCCTGGGAGCGATCAGGGCAGAAGGCGGTCACGGGAGCACTGGGAGTCTGTCCTTCTGACCCATGACCCAAGCAGGGCCCGGTGGGATGTGAGACTTTGCCCGAGAGGCCCCGGGGGGGCCAGGTGCCTGCCCCGGAGCTTTCCCCAGCAGCTCCTGGCGTGGCTGAGCGGTGCGCCCGCCTTCCCTGTGTCCTGGATGCAGCACTGGCCCACCGCGGCCGGAGGGGGGGGCAGCGGGGTGTCGGCAGGCAGCTCCCGCCCGGGCTCACAGCTCAGAAACTGCAGCCTCTCCTTCCCACTGTTCCCCTGGGGACAAAGCCATTGACATTAGTTCGGGCGGCCTGGACTCTACACCCCCACCCACACCCCCCCACACCCCACGCCCTGCACCCCCCACACCCTGGGCTCCACATGACCTGGCCCCACGGCCTCAGCTGGGGGACAGGCTCGGCCGCAGCCTGTCGCAGGGCCCTGCCTTGAGCAGGACACAGAGGTGGCCTCCACCAGGCTTGTTGGAGGAAAGGATGTAGAATGCCTCATGTCTGGTGCCAGCCCGGGGCAGTCTTCAGGTCATTTGTCTACGAACCCCTTCTCTGCCTACAAGCAAGATGAAGTGGACACACTGAGAAGCAGCAGCGGCCAGTGGAAACCGAGTCAAGCTGGAACCTTGAGGACCTGGTCCCCTCCCCCAGATCCTCATCCATGTCCAGGCCTGACAGGCCTCACTCCTGCCTGACCGGCTTTTTGGGACCTGACAGCCAGGGCCATTCCTGCAAGGAGAACGTGTGCCACCTGGTGGCCACTTCGGGAAACTGCAGGCGCTCCCCGGCCGCTCTCCAGGCCCCTGGTCCGCGCTAGGATGGGCTGCCGCTCCTACACCGGCCGCCAGAAGTCCTCCGGGGTGTTCTTGAGAGGCCCCGGATGGCAATGAATTCCTGTGGGTGGGTGTAGCCCTGTGGGGCAAAGGGCAGGGACGTGTGAAATGGTGGCTCCTTGGTTCCCCCAGACCCCACCAAGCACAGCAGTAGAGCCCATGTCTGAGATCCTGGAGTGAGGACACTGTGTGTGCCCATACCTGCACAAACACATGAATGCATGTGCCCAGGAACTCAAAGGAGGGGTGGCTTCAGGGGCCGCACCACGACCACCTCAGCTCTCCCCCCCCACCCCCCGCCCCCGGGAGGGGCGAGGAAATCCTACAGGAAAATAACAAGGTGCTGACGAGCCAGGAATAGCCTCCCAGCTGCTGCTCTTCACCAGCCCCTCCTAAAACCAGCCTGCGTTTCCCCCCTGGCTCCCCAGGGCCCACCAGGCAAAGCCCTCAGCCTAACAGTCAGGCGGCCCCTCCCATCCCATCCCCACAGCACACTGTCCCCGCTCCATCATATCAAAGCACTGCCCATCCCTCAGTAGATCAGATGTCCCCTCCTCCAGGCCACCCTCCATGCCTGCCCACTGTGGCTCCCGGGGCTCACAGGGCAGCACGTGTGGGTAGCGGTTCTTGGTGGCATTGGTGGGGTGCTCGGCCCCCCACCTGGACTGCTCCCGGACCACCTCCTCCAGCTCCTGCAGAGATTGGAGGCAGGTCTGGTTGCTGAAGCAAGCCCCTCTGTCCCCACACCGAGAGAGGGTGTCCCCTGACCTTCAGGACAGGTCCAGCCCAGCCTAGTGCCTGGGTCCTCTCTGCTTGGAGCCTGAGGGCATAGAGGCCTGACCTCAAACTCCTGAGAGAAAGCCTGGAGGGGCCAGCGAGAGGGAGCCCTGACGCAACGTGGGTGACAGAGAGAAAGGAGAGGAACAGCAGGTCAGGGCTGCAGGAGCGGGAGGCTAGAGGACCAGCTCCGAGGCCCGGAGAAAGGCCTGTGCGAAGGTGACTGAGGTGTGACGGTGGCTGAGGACGCTGGTGCCCACGGCGCACAAGGGGAGGAGCTGGCCTTGAGCCAGGGGCTCCCCGCTGCTGAGCAGAGATGCACATCCTGCTCCCAGCCCCTCACAGCTGGGTCCCCTGAGCTCCTGGAGCCCCAGGGTCGTCGATTCCTCCCCGCCCCTCTCCTGCCCCCAGCCCCCGCCTGGCAGCCTCCCTGAGGCCTGGCAGTCACGGACCTGAGCCATTGCTTCACTGCTCAGCCCTGGGAAGGTGGGGACGGGATGGTTGGGGGCGGGACAGGAGAGGAAATGGCTGAGGGCCCTGGGAGAGCAGGGAGGGGACCGTGCAGGAATCAGGCAGGTACGGAGCTGGGCACCAGGCAGCGTCTGTGGGAGCCTATCTCTGGGGCCAGCCGGGCAGGGACGACAGGCCGGCAGCCACCAGCTCAGGCCAGAGCCAGGGCCGCCCGCCCTCCCCCAGGAGCACTTCCAGTAGAGTCTCACAGCAGCAAGGGGGGGGGCAATGGGGTGGGAACGTCCTGATTCAGAATCTAAGGGGAGGACAAGCAACAAGACATAGTTTAGTTTTAGGTAAGGGGTATCTCAGACCCTTCCCAAGAGTCCCCACCACAGGGGGCCTGTGGGGGACAGCAAGGGGCACTTGGCTACAGAAGGTATATCTGCCAGCCCCCCCCCCCACGCCAGCCTGGGGCAGCTGGGGATGGGGGGGCCCGCAGAGAGGGTGCAGGAAGGTTCTGGCATAAAGCACCCTCAGCAGCCCAACCCTCTCCACTCAGCAAGAAAAGCCCACAGGGCTGTCTCCTCCCAGCAGCCACTCCCGCAGACAAAGCCACATCCTCCCCACCCCCAGAGAGCCCTGGGGGTCCTCCCCAGGTGTCAGAGCGCCTTACTGATCCTGGAGAGAGCCGCCGGGAGGCTGAGGAGGGCGCGTGTGGTCCAGGGCGGGAGGGGGGTGGTCCTCGCAGGCTGAGCCAGCCTGGCTTCTGCCACAGCTGTCCCGGCAGCTAGCTCTCTGCCACCTTCTCCTCTTCCTCCTGAAGCCAGGCCTTGGGCACCCCCACTCTCAGGGTGGGGGCAGGGGACACACCAGGCAGGAGAGGGGCAGTGCAGCACGAACAGCCAGGTTCCCATGTCGCTCCCACAGCCTGGGAAGGTCACCAGGGAGGGGGCCGGTCCCTCTGACCAGGCTGTGGAGGCGGCAGGGCCTGGCCGGTACCGTGCGGGGGTGCTGGTGGCCCGAGTGAGGCAACTGCAGTGCGTGTGCATGCGTGAGCTGTGGGGGTGCCGTGCCTGTCTGGACGGGTGTGCACATGTGGGCGTCCTGGGACATGGGGGAGGGGGCAGACAGGAGGGCCCCCGGGAAGAGAGGGCTGTGTGGTGGGACAGACGTCCTCTTTGCTGGCTCTGGGCTTGGGCGAGACGGAGGGACTCTCTTCTGTCCTGGGACCTCCAGGGACCTCCAGGCCACCCCCCTCCCAGCAGCCTGGATGGGACAGAGTCCCCTCCAGGCGGAGCAGACGGGCTGCCCCAGGCCCCAGGCCCCAGGCCCAGCGGGGGAGGGGCCGCTGTCCCCGTGGAGGCTTGTGGGGGGTGCTGTCACCCCTCCTGTGAGCTCCAGGCCACACTCCGCGGCTGTCCGGTTGTTTGGGCATTTCTGAGCAGAAGGACGGGGAGCGGGCAGGAGGCAGGACACACCCAAAGGGGACGGAGTCCCTGTCTTGCCACACCCCCACCCCAACGCCCCTTCTGCCTCCCGACCCCCAGTTTCCTTGCTCTCTGCCCAAGACCTCAGCTCCTCGAGTTGGTGGGGTTGGGTTCCCACAGCCAGTGGGCTCAGGCCATGGACACTGGGGGCACTGGCCCCCGTGGGGGAGGGCTTTGGCCGCTTCCCCTGCTCTGACCTTGTGGTGGCCTCGCTTCCTGTTCTTGAAAACAATCACCAGCTTGGCCCAGAGGGGGTGGCCGTCTTTCCAATCCCCTCCTGCCCCCTCTTTGGTCCCCAAGGCCCCCACTACCTTCTAGTGGAAACTAGAGGTGGGATGCGGTTCAGGCAGAGGCCAGCCTCAGGTCACTTCCCGCAGGTGTCCAGGGACTCCCAGGCACCTGCCCCCTCCGCGTGTCCCCGGTGCCACTACCCAGCTCTGATCAGCCTCCTCACAGGAAAACCACCCATCCCCGGAGGAGCACACCCCGGGGAGAACGGAGCCAGGGCCGGCTGGCCACGCAGGGGCTCCGTGAGGGGCCTGTCCTGTGCCCGGTCCCCGCCACCAAGAGCAAGGGCAGTGCCGGGAGGCGCCTGGTCGAGGGCTGCCGGTTCATCTCAGCCCCCCCTCCACAGGCCGGCCGGGGGGGGGGGCAGCCCCTCCCTGCCGCCCCTCCTGTGTGCCCACCCCTGTGCCTATTGTAGCATCTTTTCTGCTGTCACTGTTTGACGGCTGAATCAGAGAAGTGGGAGGAAGAGAGAGGACGGGATTTTGCGTGTTGGGGGCCGGGAAGGGAAGGGTGTTTGGACTGTTCCGGGGTAAAGGGGCAGGAGTACAGCCAGCATGAACCGGCCGGGCTGCTGGCCAGCGAGGAGCCCGCCGAGGCACGGCTGGGGCTGGGGGCAGCGCAGTCTTGGACTTGGGGGCCACGCCCCAGGCCCCAGGCGCCCCAGCAGCAAAGGAGCCTTGGGAGTGCCCTGGCATGAGCCCAGACGCCCCGCTATCTGTAAGAACTCTGAGTGGGTGTCTGGGTTCCGGGAGGCCTGGAGGGGGCTGGGGCCCGGGAAAGCCCCCCAGATCCTCCGACAAGCTCTCCGCTACCCGCTTCCCAGGTGGCTGGCCCAGGTCGGACCCGAGGCAGCTGGGAGCTGGGGTGCGGCTCCAGGCCTGGGATGACCCTCCGGCATGGCCTGGGCCTTCCCTTCCCACTACGGAGCGGTTCCTGCCTCCTCTTTGCTCTACAAAGGCGCAACCTGTGCCGACCCTGAGCTGCCAAGGCTGGAAGGGGCACACGTTTCCGGGCCCAGGGCTCTGAGGCAGGCGCAGGCAGGTGGACAGCAGTCTCCGGCCACGTCAGCTTGCACGGCAGCAGCTACGGTTCTGTGTGGGGCAGCATGGAGCGAGAGGAGCGAGCAGGCAGAGGCTGGACGTCATCAAGACCAGGGAAACAGCCCAGAAAGCAAGACGGTCTGGACCCGGGGGAACTGGGGTGGCCAGGAACAGCAGCTCGCGTCCACCCCCAGGAGCAGGGCCTTGGGCCTGCAGCAGAGGTGCTGGGACGCAGCCCGCCTGCCCTCAGAGGGCGCCGGCAGGAGGCACCTGACCCCTGGCGGTGGCAAGCGGGCAGCGTGCATCTGGGTGTGCGTGGGTGGCTGCAAGGAGGGGCTGAGGGAGGAAGCGGGCTTCCTGGAGCCTCCTCAGCCTCAAAGACAGACCGACAGACAGACAGACATCTGGCAAGAGGCAGCCTGGGGGGCACAGCAGCTTCGGTAAGTGCTGATGGGGGGAGGAGGGGTCCTGTGGCCCTGGGGTGGCGGGAACCCCGGGGAGACAGGCACACATGGCCAAAGAGGGTGCGTCGGGGGCCACAGTGCCCGGCTGGGAAATGGGTGCTGGTCTAGCCGGTGGCCCAGGGTGCCGGGGCAGGGGCCTCGGGCGCTGCCAGGAGAGCAGAGCGAAGAGCCCTCCTGGTGCAAGAGCCGCTTTCTACCGCCCACATCTGCACGGGCCACTCTGTCCCTCGCCTCCGTCCCTGCGGCCTCACATCCCCCCAGCACGCCTCGGAAGCTGTGACCTGGGCTCTGGGAGATGGGGAGTGTCCCTCAAGGGGAGCTGGCCTCACCACCTCCGTGCCCCTCTCGCGCACCCAGCTGCGGCCTCTCCATGCGCTGCCTGCCGCTCAAGGGCTTGGTGAGGCCATTTCCTGTGACGGTTAGGGAGCAGGAGATGGGGGGTTGGGCAGAGGAGGAAGGACGCACCCCCAGTCTACCTCTGTGGACAGAGACCGGGATGAACTTGGGAGGAGAGGGTCCCGCTAGGGGCCGGCGACCTGCATGCCTGGGTCCCCACCTGGCTCCGAGGCTGCCGAGGCCTCAAGCTCCTCACCCCAGGCCCCGGCGGGCTGGGCTTACAGGTGGGGTCTGCGAGCTTGCCCTCCAGTGCTCAGAACACTGGCTTCACTTCCTCGCTTTCGCTCACCTGGGCCCCCAGCTTAGGGCCCCAGCTTAGGGCCCTGTGAACTCGGGGCTCTGGCAGCCCCTCCCTTTCTGGATTCTGTACTAACTTCACCCACACTCTCTGCCGTCACCTTGGCCTACCTCTGACGTAGACTGCCGGCCACCTGGGTCCCCCGTGGAGACCTGTCCTTCCCGTGGTGAAAGCAATACCACCTTGTGGGGAGCAGAAGTCCCCCCAGTGAAAGCAGGAGCTGGACGGCAGAAGGCGGCCTGGGCCTGGGAGCCTCGTCCTGCCCGGCAGGCCTCAGGTCAGCCCTGTCTTCCAGGCGAGCCTCATGGCTGCGTGAGCCTCCCCTGGGCCCAGCATGGTCCAGGCCTGTGGGGGACATCCCAGAGCACAGCCGCCAGCCTGGTCTTTGGGGACAGCCATGACCCAGCCTCCGCCGCCCAAAGCACCAGCCAAGAGGCACGTGCGTCTACAGGAGAGGTGAGAGCTTTCCTGGGGATGGGGCCCCCCAGTCCTGAGCCTCTCCTCTGTCCCCTCCTGGGCCCCTGCAGCCTTGACAGCTGAGTCCAGGGGGCCCTCAGGTGTAGACTCCAGTCTGGAAGGGAAACCCAATGTGCTGATTTGCATGTAATTTGCATGCCCTATATGTCTGGGGCCCAAAGTCCCATGGCCACCTAGCCCGTGCTCCCTGATCCTCAGGTTGGGTTGAGGGGTCCCTGGGAAAGGGCTGCCAAGCTCTGGGGGCCAGGTCAGGAACGGGAAGAGGAGGCCAGCTGGTGTGGGCCGCTGGGTTCAAGGCTGACAAAGCGAAGAAGGCCTGCAGCTGGGGCCTGAGCCCTGGAATCCGCTGTGCCACGGGTCAGGGCAAGGCCGGAAGGGCCTCCTCAGACGCACTTGTAAGCAGAGCAAGTGTCACCAAGCATCACCAGGCCCTGGCGGTCTGTCCCTGCAGGAGGGGCTCCAACGTCGCTTTGGTGCTGGACGTGCGGTCCCTGGGGGCGGTGGAGCCCATCTGCTCCGTGAACACGCCCCGGGAGGTCACTCTACACTTTCTGCGCACAGCTGGACACCCCCTCACCCGCTGGGCCCTGCAGCACCAGCCGCCCAGCCCCAAGCAGCTGGAAGAGGAATTCTTGGTAAGAGCTTGAGGCTCACTCTGCCCCCCTGATTCAGAGGCAGCCAGCTGGCACCACTCTACCCTGGGCCTGCGGGCTCGAGGGAGGACACCGGCCTATGCCCTCTTCTGCCCCCCCTCCATCAGCCCCACGTGCTGACCCCAGGAGGGACCGGACAACCAGGGCCCGGCTCTGCCAGGAAAGGGTTGGGGGGAAAGCAGGTTGGAGGGGTCTCGGCTGCTCACGCGTGTCCTCCTTTGCCAGAAGATCCCCTCAAACTTCGTCAACCCTGAGGACCTGGACATTCCTGGCCATGCATCCAAGGACCGATACAAGACCATCTTGCCAAGTAAGGACTGCAGCAGGGGGGCCAAGGAGGTGGCACTGCCCTGGGGCTGGAGGACAGCGGAGGCAAGACGCACGGCCCAGCCTGAGAGGAGCGGCCGCATGTGGGCCTCTCCCCTCGCAGACAGATAGCAACACCACATGGCCAGGCGGTGGGGCCTGACCACCAGGGGGCCCTCAGTCACGGGCACTGCTCCAGCCCCTCAGGGACGCATCTCCTGAACTGGTCCCTGATGCGGGTACTGTGGGCTTATTATCCCCGTTTTACAAACGAGGAAACTGAGGTACAGAGAAGCTGCATAACTTTCCCAAGGTCACACAGCTAGTGACACCAAACCTGCCCCTTGCCCCTCCTCACACGTGGGAAACGCTTAGCAGAGGCTGGCAGGGAAACAGGCCTCATCGGTGTGGTCTCCAGAGGGGCTCGGAAAAGCTGAGATGGCAGCAGGGCAGTGACTGGCAAGGGATCAGTGACGATGATGGAGACGGAGGTCACGGGGCTGCAAGCCTGACAGACCTGGGCGCAGAGGCAGACCTGGGCGCAGAGGCAGGCCCGAGGCCGTGGGGACTCCTCCCCCGCTCAGAGTAGCCTTAGGGGCCCACCCGGCTCAGCAACGCCCAGTCCTGAGGCCTCAGCTCAGGCCCCCCCCCCAATCCTCGTCCTCCCAGCGGCCCAGCTGGTGCCTGCGTGGGCGTGGGTGGGTCGGGGGCTGTCACGGCAGTGGGGCAGGAACCCTCCCCGTGTCCTAATTGTAACCAGTCCCGCAGCCACCACAGAGGGGACGTCCCTCTGCCTGACTTCTGCTGGTCAAACACACGCTGTGGGTCCCTATTACCTACACAGGAAACAATCTGTAGCTAGCTGCCCACAGGCGCTCTGATGAGCACAGGGACGCGCGCTGGCCGGAGGCAGTCTCCACTCCCTGCCCCCTGGTTGGCCTCTGACCTCTGCTGATTTTACCTCCTAGATCCCCAGAGTCGTGTCTGTCTTGGCCGCGCACAGAGCCAAGAGGACGGAGACTACATCAACGCCAACTACGTCCGAGTGAGCGGCCTGGCCATGGGGCGGGGAGGGGGCTATGTCTGAGGACGTCCTCAGGAGTACGGCCAGGCGGGGCTGGTGGCTTCCCCACTCCAACTCGTTGCTGGCCTGTCCTGCCAGGCTGACACGGAGCCTGAGCGGGCCGACACCGCCAAGAAAACGGGCTGAAACAGAAGGACCCCCGGGTCCACGAACCCAGCCCACCGCCTCATCCCTGACAACCTATAAACAGGGAGGCAGTGGGCATGTCGAGTCCACTTTCCAGCTTGTGGAGGGCTGATGGCACCTGAGGGCTGCATGGGAGGTGCCAGCACAAACGGGCGCCCCGCGCTGCCTCTGTCCCCGTCTGTCTCCCTCCTCCGGTCCCCCGCCAGCCTTACTTGCTCACCGTGCAGCCCCTCTTTTGTGGGCAGTCAGGCCGGAGGCTGGGTGTGCTGGGTTTCCCACCGCGAAGGCCCCGATACCGGATGTGAACGCTGCGCCCTCTAGGGGCCGAAGCGGGTGGGTCAGCGGTCAGGCGCCGACAGGTGGAAAGGGTCAGGCAGATTCCCCCACCTGCCCGCAGAAGCCAGGTGAACAGGGGTCTGGATTTCACCTTCACCTTCAGGCAGGAGGCTGAGGGTTCTGAAGAAGACAAAAGAGGGCTGACAAGAGCACCTCATCTTGCTGCTAAATAAGTAAAAGTAATATGTAAAAGAAACATTCATTCGATATTGAATAGTAGTTTCTGATGACGTGCACTTAAAGAGGACCTGATATGCGCCAGGCTCTCCTGCAATACACTCCTGCAGGCAGAGATTATGCCCAATTTACAGATGAGAAGCTGAGGCTCACGGAAGCAGGGTGACTTGCTTACAGTGACACAGCTAGTCAGCAGCCAAAAGGGATGGAGCCCAGGCGGTCTCACTCCAGAACCCACGTCCTCTGCACCATGTGGCTTCCGGTGTGTGTGTGTGTGTGTGTGTGTGTGTGCACGTGTGCCGGTGTGTGTCTACACGTGTGTGTCTGCGTGAGCACACTCACTGGCTTCAGCTTGATTCTAGGCTCTGCAGAGTCGGGGGCTCCCCGTCACCATTTCCCCCCCTTCTCCTGTGCACCCACCTCTCCAGGGCTACGACGGGCAGGAGAAGGTCTACATTGCCACCCAGGGCCCCATGCCCAACACTGTGTCAGACTTCTGGGAGATGGTGTGGCAGGAAGAAGTGTCACTCATTGTTATGCTCACTCAGCTCCGAGAAGGCAAGGAGGTAGGAGGGAGAGCCACAGTCCTCGGTGACACGGAGAGAGCTACCCCCCCCACACACACACACCTACAACTCGGGGCAGCTCAGAACTCCCCTGGGAGCTGACAACACCTACAGCCAGGCCCCGCTCGCCCCTGTCAGCCAAGCTCCTGTGATGTCCCCATCCCGTCCTGGCTATCCAGCAGAAGGTGGGCTGCAGTGCCAAGCCCAGGAGAGCCCCCCAGTGGGAGCAGGAGGTGAGGGCGGCCCATCCCTTTCTGCTCCAGCTGATGTGCCCCCCCCTGACTCCCAGCTCCCTCCCTCCTAGAAATGTGTCCACTACTGGCCCACAGAAGAGGCCACCTACGGGCCCTTCCGGGTCTGCCTCCAAGACGAGAGAGAGCTCCCGGAATACACCGTGCGGCAGCTCACCATCCAGGTACAGGCCAGGTGCACAGGGAACCTACGGCTCGGGGACCATGACCAGCCCCCCGGGGCCATCCCAGCCTTGGCCTCCCCTGGCACCAGCGAGGGAGGCTGGCAGTGCCCCACCCTGACCCGGGTTTCGTGCCTGTCCCCATGCCAGCATCAGGAGGAGTGCCGGCCAGTGAAGCACGTCCTCTTCTCGGCCTGGCCTGACCACCAGACCCCGGAGTCGGCTGGGCCGCTGCTGCGCCTCATGACTGAGGTGGACGAGAGCCCGGAGGCAGCTGCCAGTGCCGGCCCCATTGTGGTCCACTGCAGGTATGGCGCCCACCCTCCACGCAGCCGTGGGCCAGGCCCCCTTGCCTCCCCTGGGGTCTCTCCTGGGCAGGCCCAGCTCCCACCAACAGGAACCTCTCGGTTCAGCCAGCACCCCGTTAGCCCCTCCTTTGTGCAGCACCTGGGTGTGTGGGCTGGACGTCGGCACAACCCAGGGAGGTGACGGTGTCAGGAAGCTCCCCGTCTGCTGGGGCAGGGGGTACATGTTCATTCAATGCCGATGGAACCTGCTGCCATCAGGAACAGTGTGCATGGCTGAGGGGACACCGTGAACAGAACAGTGGGGATTCTGCCCAGACAGGCGCACAGACAAGACAAACCGCACACGGTGCGGTGACAGGTGGCACAGGGCGCACGGGGTAGAAGACCAAGTTTCCCAGCTCAGACTTTGGCCAGAGCAGGTTTTCCAGGAGAGAGGACATGAAGCTAAGATGAATCCTGAAAGGTGACGAGGGGAAGGGGAAGTGTCCCAGGCAGGTGGCACAGCATGTGCAAAGGCCCAGGGACGGATGTTCAAATTGACACACTGCTGGGAATAGCTGACGGCCTGGAGGTCACAGGGGGACAGTGAGGACCGGTGAGGCCGGAACGCCTGGTGATGAGGGGCCCTCAGAGCGCCTGAGGAACTTGGATTTGCTTTGGCTACAGCGTGAAAAGGGGGTTGGGGTAGAGTAGGGGGCGTGTAGGGGACAAGCTTAGAACAAGGACACCGTCTGGGGGAGCATTTCCTACGTGAGGCGGAACAGAGGCAGGAAGTCCAGACGGGCTCGTGACCCCGTACGCGGTGGCCCCTGACCTCAGCGCTGGGAGGTGGCGAGTGGCTCCTGTCAGGGACTCACACAGGGTGACTTCCTAAGAAGGGAGCTGAGAAGGTTTTAAAATGACGGGCAAGATGGGGGGCTGGAGAGAGAAGCATGGGAAAGACCCGCGGTGGCAACGACTGTGTGTCAGCAGTGAGAGCTGCCCTGAGCGGGAGTCAAGGTCAGATAAGGAGGCCCGGCAGCCAGCCAGCCCAGCGTGGGCACTGTCACTTAGAAACCGCTGTCAGCTGCTAAGAAGAGAGCGCATCAAAACACGCACAGGGACCTCAGAGCGACGAGGCGGCGGCTTAGAGCGAGGCCAGGAAGAGACGGAACTCGTCCCGTGCCAGCTGTGGGCTGCATGGGTGCTGCCGCCTCCCTCCAGCCCCACGTCCCCAGCCCGCGAGCAGAGTGGGCTCCGTGCCTGCGCCTTCTCCAGGGCTTGCTCCCGGGACCCACGTTCCCCGCCCACCTGTGACTTCCTCCCCTCCCCCGCCGACACCCAGCGCAGGGATTGGCCGGACCGGCTGCTTCATCGCCACCCGGATAGGCTGTCAACAGCTGAAGGCCCGAGGGGAAGTGGACATACTGGGCATCGTATGCCAACTGCGGCTGGACAGGTGGGTGTGCGCGGGAGCGGGGGCGGCGCCTGCGCGCCCGGGTCAGAGGCGCTCGGGCTTGTCAGCAGCCGGCGCTTCCTGTGGGAGAGGGGGGCGCCCCTTCTGCACACAGCTGTCTCTCCGGCAATTGCACCAGGGGAGGAGTCTGTGCGCTGGTCTTAGCGTGAGGGCCTGGAGTTCAACGTGCCAGTCCGTGGGCTCAGCCACGCCTTCGGGGCTCTTTTGTTTTTGACTCTGGCTGTTTCCTAAATCCCTGCTCAGGGGAGAGGCGGGGTCCCAGCGTTGGTCGGTTCTAGACCCGAGGCAGGGACGAGGGATGCCCAGAGGCACTGCGTTTGGAGACAGGACCAGCGGGCAAAGGCTGGCTTGCCTCTCACTGAGCAGTGACTGTGCTTCTCTGGGCCCCAAGTGTCTGTCTAGAGAGGAGTAAGGTCCCGTTCTGCGGGGGGCTGCCGTGAGTGAATGTGTGCGAACGGGTTTGGGAACGTGAAAGCCTCCTGTGCGCATGTGTGGGGCTGTTATTCTTAACTTGAAGATGACCGGGAAGAGGACGCCTTGGGGCTCTGGAGTGTTCCTGGCCCAACCTGAGAGGTCAGGGGCCTGTCTGCCCCAGGAGGGGCTGCTCTGAGAGGACCGTGTGCCGGTGTGGGGGTGTCCTGCTCGCGGCCCACCCCAGGCTTCGCCCCTGGTGGGGGAGGTCTGAGGGCAGAAGAAGGAACAGGAGGCAGAGAAGGAGTCAGTGTGACGGAGACGTCAGGGTCACCCTGGGGACTCACGGTTGTGCTTGTCCCCACAGGGGGGGCATGATTCAGACGGCGGAGCAGTACCAGTTTCTCCATCACACTCTGGCCCTGTACGCAGCCCAGCTGCCAGGGGAGCCCAGCCCCTGACACCGGCGCCTGGGAAGGTGGGTCTGGGGAAGAAAGCAGGCCTTGTGGCCTGGGGACCCGTGGGTGCACATGGGAAGGGTGCCCTGTGAGCGTGTGCCGTCACAGGGTTCTCGCCGGCAAGGACCAAGGCCAGGCTCCAGGTCTTCGTCACTGGCCACGCCTCTGCTTCCTCTAGTGGCCCCAAGTGGACACCAGGGGGAACCTCACCTGTCTCTCTGGACTTAAGGACCGGAGCTTGCATTTCAGCAGCTCTGAGAGACGCCCAGCCTGGAGCTTCAGCCCCCGCGTGTGTGACATGGACACTACATGCGTGGCTGCCATTAAAGGGAAACAATCAGAGAAGTTCTAGAAACTGTCCCAGCTACTCCACCTTCCTGGGCTGGCAAGAGGGTGATCCCAGGTCGGTCCCCACCTGGATCTGCCCAGGAACAAGCCAGACACCAGAGCTGGGAGAAGTCTGGCCAGACGTTGGTCAAGGTTTCCTACCACTGAATGTTCCTCGCCCCACATGTGAGGGCCGGATGCCCCCAAAGAACAAGGGCCTGAGCTCACACGTGTCCTAGGAGCACACTGCACAGGTGACCAGGCCAGGCAGCTGAAGTCTCTGGAAGGGGGACAGTGGGGCCCATCAGAGGCTCAGAGGGCTGCCCTGCCTCTGGAGCTGCCGATCACTCACCCCGGCTACTCCCTAGGAGGCTAGCATCGTCTGCCCTCCTTCTGTAACCTCAGAAGATACCCTGGGCACCTTGGAAGCACAAAAGGAAGACAAGGAGACACAGAGCTCCCCTGATTTCAGATGACCAGCCTCGCCCCTGCATTTGCAGAAGACACTAGAGAGCTGGTTGTCCCCACCAGCAATCTCAGTTCAGGCCCTCCATGCCCGACCTGGGCTCAGAGTGAACCGGGTCCCTGCTAGTTCGCCCGGAGACCTGCGTCCCCTCACCATCTCCACACCAGCACCACCTCCAGGGCACTGGCTCCATCTCAGCTCTGACCTGCACACCCCAGGAAGGCACTTGAACCTGATGGGCTGTGCATGGGCCCAGGAGGCACCGTCTCCCGGGCACTCGGCTCCTGAGGTCTGCCTTTGCTGATGCCAGTTCTCCATGGAACCCCCACAGGGCCGGGTCCCAGAGGCCACCTGGGGCTCCACACACGAGACCTCGCTCTGAAGGGCACAACATGGCTGAGACTCAGATGGAGGTTGTCTCCTTCCCGACCAAGAAACCATCCTCCCTGCAGCCCAGGAAGGGGCTTGCCCACACCTGCCTCCCCTGGACCACGTGTCTCCCATGACACTGGCCTGAGAGCTCTCAGCTGCCTGGTCCTGCCAGGAGCTCAGACGTAGCCAGATGGACGCAGCTGCATGGCCGGCATCCACCCACAGGCTCCCCACCCTGGGCCCCCACAGGCCCCAATCCTGTCCCAGAACGCAGAAGGTTCTGCAAAAGAGACGGAGCGGGAGAATAAAGATTCTTGCATGGCTGGTTCGTTTCTTCTCTCCACCATCTTCTCGGGCCCCTGGAGCCTCTTTTTAGCAACAGAGACAACAAGAAACCACAGGCAGGGAGCAGCTCTGACCAGGATGCGCACTTTCCCAGCCCTTCCGGGACACATGAAACAAAGTGAAACTGAGTCAATTTAGGACTGGGGCAGGGTGTGCCTTAGGCGCTAGAAAGGCAGAGACCGAAAGATAGTGCTCAGTACCCAGAATGCTCTGGGGCCAAGACTGTCCCTCTCCACCCTGGCAGCTGTGTGATCACTGGGGTCGTCCGGGTGGGTGTGAAGGGACGGTTGGCACTGATAGCTTATGTACATTTGACAGCCAAGGACCAGGGAGTGCCCAGCATAAGTTGGGGACTGCCCTGAGGCCTGGGTGTCCGGGGGCTGGCCTGTTCAGCAGGCCCTGTGGTTGGGTCCTCTGTGTCAGGCACCCTATGCCCCCCACCATCAGTCCTCCACCTGGAGGAAACTTTGGTATACAGGCTAACTTTTCCATTTGCCACAGAGCTTCCTCACGGACACCCCCCCTACCCCCCACCGTGAACAGAACAGTGGGGATTCTGCCCAGACAGGCGCACAGACAAGACAAACCGCACACGGTGCGGTGACAGGTGGCACAGGGCGCACGGGGTAGA